GCAAGCGGAAACGCTCAGACCGCCCCCTGTCCTATGCCCAGGCCCTCACCCAGGCAGGCTGCGAGGAAACTATCGGGGCCACCGTGCGCAAACGGAGACTGTGTTTTGCGGGCTTTGTTATGCGCATGGAGGACAGCCGCCTCCCCAAGCGCATGCTGTTAGGAGCGATGGCGGGGGGCGTGGGATACCGGGGCGGGCAGGAGAGCGACTGGGTGTCTCGTCTAGGAGAGGACCTCGTGGCCTTCAACATGGGAGACGAAAAGGAAGGGGGGAAATGGAAAGAGAGCGCCAAGGACTCGGAGGTGTGGTACAACAAGGTCGAGGACGGGGCGGCATGGTTCATGAGGAAATGGCACAGGCAGGAGGCGGAAGCGTCCGCGAAGCGCCAGCGCGCGAGGGAAGCAGAAGCAGAGAGTACGGCCTCAGGACCGAAGAGAAAGAGAGCCGGGGAAGCGGCGGTGGGGGGGAAGAAACGGCGACCGGGCACTGCTGTAGAAGCGAGTAGGGCGGCCGAGGCAGCACTTGTGGCGAACTATGTACCCGGCTGATATTGTTGCGCCCTGTTTCCCTCCCTGCTGTATGCTATACTATTTTTATGTATGTTCTTTGTATTGCCTTCGGCCTCTGTGCTGTGTTTCTTGTTTTCATGACCTCCCTACCTACTCTGCTGTGTTGGGTACTTTGATCTCGCTTTGCTGTTGCCTTTGCTTTTGTACGCCTGGCTGTCTGCCCATCTGCCGCCCCTTTGTCCTGTTTGCTCCGTTACTCCCATGCCCTGGTGCGTAGTGCCTGGTGCTGGTACGTTACCCTTTGATTTTTTCTTTGGGCGGGTGTGGGAAGCGTCCTCCTTTATTTTTTATTTTTTAAATTATTTTGATCGGTTTCAGAGGGCTCTTTTCTCGAACGGTCGGTGCGATACATGTTCTTTTTTTGCTATCATGTTTTCTTGTTCCGAGTGGTTTGTACCCTAGTTTTGTTTTGTTTCCCCGCGGCGTCGTATGTGCCGGGTTTTGACACTACGGGCTCCCCATTATTTGTGGACTATGGAGCTAATGTGAGAAACAACAACAACGTGGGTCTTCACCAGTCTGTCGAGGGACCGCTCAAGGAGTACTTTATGTTGAAGAAGAAGAACATAGCGGGGGAAGACCGTTTTGTCAACACAGCCCTGTCGTGTGCGATGCTTCTATCTCTTCATCGAATCAACTCGTACCCAATCCGTTCGCAGCCGAGCCACATCCGTGAGTGCAGATGACAGCGCCGAAGGTTTGACCTCGGTACGCATGCTACATATTGAGATGCGTACACGGGTGTCATCGGCTTCGGGTTGAGGCACTTTCTTGAGCAATGGAACAATTTGGTTTCTCCACTTGACATGAGGTCGTGTTTGACGGCCTCTAGTTTGCACCCTAGGTAGGCGCCCATCGCTACTATCTACCCATAGTGTTGAGGCAATACAGCTGGGGGAGGGACGCCCCTTCTACAACTGCGTCATGCTCACTTCTCGCCACACCGTGGCATTTTCTGCGGACCAAGTGGCCGTTGTGCCTTTATCAACTTCAAGCAGAAGAGAGGAACAACACGGCGCTTTTTCAACACTCAACATACCCCCCATAAACCGCGATACTGCAAATCTTGGCGGAGATATATTGTGGGCAAATCTTGGCTCAAAATGCCAAGATTTATTTACAATATTCTGTTTCCATGAAGAAGGGTCTAATGTTCTATACTTGTCAAATGAATCCCGTGCAATTAACACAGGGGGAAAGTTAACCCCTACTTCTTTCGAAGGGCCGGGGTGCGTAGTGGCGTGTGTGCTCCTTACGAAAACAAATGCGTGTGTGCTCTGTAGACGGCATGACGGGTCCGAGATGGAATAGAGCTCGCGCCGTTCGTACATGGTGCCTTTCCGCTGCTCCGGCTTGACGTCCGATGCCAGAACCCAGTAGCCCAACCTACATGTTCCTCCGATGACCACGCAGCAGTCAACGGTCGCCAGTCACTCGAAGGCTTCCGAGAGCTGGTGGCGGAAGTCTCTACTTCCTCATTCCATCGGCGATTTTGGGCCTGCATCACTCCGTTTTTCCTAGAGTAGTGTAAACGACTCGCTGGAAGTTCAACTTCAGGTATACCATCATCCACAACATCGCTTACACCGTGGATCTCCACCAACGCCGTGATCAAGCGATCCGATCTTCACCCTGCCAATACATGTTCACCGAAAGTCTATTCCTTCAATGATAACTGTCAGTGCCTCCGGAGGCACTTTCTTCAGATGAAAGTGATGTATCTTTTTCGCTGCTGCATGAAACCTCTTTTCATCGAGAAACGCGCGGCGTGCCAAAAGCTTTGCTGGCAACATCCCACGACAGCTATTTCAGCTTATCTCTTTCTCTCCTTCCGTCGGTGGCCCTTGCCAACTAGTTTCTTGCTGCAGAGGATGGAACCAAAACGTCGCCAAGCACTTTTCGCTCGCCGCCGGGTCACAATATCGCTTCCATCCCTCCAACTCCAAGCTGGAAAGCGGTAGGATCGCGTCGAAATCAGTCCAAGGTGGAGCACGGACGAACAAAAAACAAAATGTGAGTGTTGGTTACAAGAGCAAAGTTAAAAGAGCAATGGTGGGTGGGTGAATAATTCCAATGGATAATTGAACAACCACACGGTATCAAATGAGGCACCCAGCAGCTGTACCACGTGGCCAAACCAATAATACCGGGACGACCTTTAGACACCACATGAGATTGACGAAGAAGATTCAATACACATAAACACACAGCGCCGTCGACTGCACATCCTGCGCTTTTGTTCTATCCAGATGTAAGGACCTCACCTTTCGCCGTCCAATCGCGACCGGCGGAGAACCCTTGACCCAGGTCCCCCTCCGGGATAGCGGCCTCCTGGCAGACGCTCCATACAAAAACTCTTGTAGTTCGCCAGGACGTGGGGGTCCAGGTCGTTCGCTGCGATAGCTCGCCGATAAAACATCTCTGCTCAAAACACATGTGGCATCAAGGGTAAAAAGTATGAGGGTGGTGATCAACCCGTTTTTACGCTAGAGCAGACGTGTTGTGTTGACTCGCGGTTGAGACTTGACCGATTTGTATCGCCCAACGGTGGAAGTTTGTTGCATTATATCATCGTTGAACATGCTTGAAAGGGGTAAACTGACGCTTCCCCAGGAGTACTGGCACTGAAGTATCGTCGTGCTCGTGAGGAGACAACTTGTGTCAGGAATCCGACTGGTCTCGCTGACGATTTCCCCCCCCATCTTGCCCCACGCTGAGCAAGGCACGTTCGTCCAGATACGAAAACCACAGACGAGCACATATCTCCATCCGTGATAAGGGTCCGCACACTCACCGGCCTGTGCGGGGTCTCGGCGGACATGCTCGAGAATCAAAGCCCAGTTCAACAACGCCCTTGCATGGTTTGGCATGGAGAGGAGACCAAAGTGGTAAAACGCCCCCTCGGCGAGGGCAAAAGTGTTTAGATCACGGTCCCTGCCGGGGGGGGAGAGGAGAACGGTCGGTTGCGGAATCGTGGCGGTGGCCCTAACCTGGCAATCATGCTGAGCATCTGAGAACTATCAAGCATGACGTGGTCGATGACGTCATCATCGCCCTCTGCTCACTAGCATTGTCAGGACCTCGTCTCTCTCGGTCTGTCTGTGGCGTTTTGTTGTTCTGGGGCTTCGACGTATTGCATTCTCGCCATGGCTCGTAAGGGCTGCTGTGCTGTACCTCTTTGACCAACATGTCGGCGAGCTGGTTGAACAGAGTAGTGAACTCCCTCAACCATAGAGCACGTAGACCCGAAGAGGCAAAAACACCACCAATGGGGGTCGTGGACCGTTGAACGACGACAGCGAGTGGCTCTTGCGCTATTCCGACTGCGGCGAACAGGAAGGTACCTATCCTGGGATTCAAACATATCAGATGCCTAAACTTGCGAAAGAGCCAGGCGGATTGCCACAAGCCGATTCACCGATACTTCGAAACAACCACGGACACATTGATAGCACAGAATGCATAATCTCAAACAATCTCGTCCCTCCAACACATTTTCTTCATCACACGACACCTGTAGTCTGCCGCGCTCAGCAACGCCAGCCCCTTGGCGCGGCTTTGCTCCCTCGGGAAGCGACAGCTCGAGAGCAAGAACAGGCCGCAGGCGCGCTGAACGAGAGGATTTTCCCCGGATAACTCAAGGGCGGCGTCGTAGAGGGGGCCGGCGGTGTCGAGGTCGTGCAGATGCGTATGCAGCACCTTCCGAAAGCGAGAAATCAAGACAATGAGGCGAGATAGACGAGCAACGGTGTTTGCCTTTTGGGGTTGGTGGGCGGGGTAGGTTGAGGTTGGTGTCAGAAATTCATTTTGCGACGAGAATTTTCTTGACCTGCGGTTCTTGGTGTGCCTCTCACCAGAGCGTAGTTGAGGGTTGATGCCAGCCGACCCCCACCCTGTACCCATGCCTCCTCCGCTTCATGCGAAAAACGTATCCCCCGTTCAATAACATCCGGTCCAGGGATGCCGTAGAAAGCTTGGAGGTGATACCGGCAGGCCTTGACGATGACTGCCGCGGCCTCAGGCACTGACAAGAACGATCGTTGCCCTGCCAGCCGATATCAAGAAAGATTGGTTTATCGACAAAGAGAGGTGTATCAAGAAAGAGAGGTGTATCAACAGAGATATGTATCAACCCAGAGATGTATCGACAAAGAGAGGTGTATCAACATAGAGTTTTGTACCCCACACTCTTTGCAATCAATGATCAGATCTCCCGCGCTTGCTAACTCGTATTGTTTTCAAAGACTTGCATTCATAGGCCACGCAACAGAGGACGACACTCCTTAACCCCCCCCCGTCGGGACTAGAAAAATATTATCTGTTCATGTTTCAAAGTCTAGTCGCAACGAGAGAGAGCATATATGATGGTGGAATAGAAGTCATGTAGAACGCTGTGCTTGATCTACTCTCCCACAATAGGTAGACTTGCGGGCAATGGCACAGAAGGGGTGAGGAAGCAACCTTTGTATTTTCTGAAATGTGTGTCATTTTCGGAATTAGTTTTCTCTCACCAGTGGCAGGATTTGTGTAGAACGTTTTGCCAGAGCGGTCCTTCTGCTCAATCCACTCGTCGGCAGGCTCCTCCAAATCCTGAACGAGCAAATGTCGATCTTATTCAATGTTATTGACGACACGATTACTTCACAAAACGCCTCGACGATGTCTGGTTCTAAGTTACGAGGCTAGAGATACGACTGGCGTGGGTACAGTAGTAGTACTTTATGAGGCGTGGTGTTTCCGACGCGTACTCGTTTTCTGCCTGAGGTCAAAGAGGTGTCGCAGTTTGATTTCCGCCGCAGAGAGAACAATGAGCTGCCCAGAGTTTTACACGCGCAGTCGGACGTTGCCAAATATACAACAATAAGATCGAACACGTTGCTGATGCAATCCACCACCCGGGTTGGTGTCGAATAATGCTTGTTCCTTTTCAGGCGCACACGTGTGATTGGAGGGATAACCTTAAGATCGCGCTTGATTGCGTTGGCGATTTCAGGAGATGTGCTTGGAAACCGCACCTGGTCAGGACGAAGGAGGCGTGGTTTCACAAAGGTGTCGACCTTGGTCTTGTTGCTGTGGTAGTAGAACTTTCCGCTGTAGACGTCGAAGCGCTTCTCGAACTGCGACAAGATGCGGCTTCTTGCCCGATCTCTCGCTTGCCTCATTCGAGACAGTCCCTGGACGCGCGAGGCCGCGAGGTTGCGCCTCTGCATTTCTATCTCATAGAACGTCACTAGCACCTGCGCGACGCACGAACAGAGGTTGTCATCGATGGTACGCCGAGGGGGACAAGGTCAATTGCACCACTTGGGATCGTTTGTTAGATGCCACGTCGCGGAACGAGCTATTACAGGTTCGGAACGCTACGTGCAAAGAGAAACGCGACCCCCAGGAGCGTTCGTTCATGGTTGTTTCCATGCATCTGGGTTCACGCAACACACATGTTTCCATGGAAAATTGAACAAACGCAAGCTAAGTAACCTCTGTCTGGTGTCGCTACTAACATCATTCATCCACCATCGAGCCTCACATCGTGATTGGCGGCGATTGTTTTTGAAACCGGACAGCAGAAAATTGTTGATAGTATCAACGAACAATAAAAATGCCTCACCCTCTCCCATCGTGCCACCGGTCTCCGCGCCACCTTTTGCTTCTGCTTCGAATCGTTTCCATCCGAACCTCCTCTACCGCCGCCTCCCCCGCAGGGCAGTTCAACCTCAACAACACGGACTCTATCGACCTTGATTCGGCGCAAGATCCAACGGGCGAGGGTGACCTCTCGCCCCCTGGCGGTGATATCGATCTTTAATTTTGCGGCAGAAAAACGGGGACGACAGGAAGGTGATAGTCTCAGGGCTGGGGGGGGTAGGGGAACAAATCTCGTGCTGAGGAGACTTTCGCTGAGTGAGCGGAAGACTTCATTATGTAACGCTAACATTGAGCGGGTTGAGGGATCTTCTCGGTGGCCGCGCTCGTCGGGTCTGTAGAACCGCGCGTGGTCGATGGTGATGAGCAGCATATCGGTGAAAGAACCGAAATAAACGGAGAAAATATTGTTCTGGCTGCTTTAGCTCGGCTACAAGGGCGCACGACACGAACAAGAAACCAAGAAAAATGTTTTAGGGGCGGGAGGAGGTTTTCCAGTATTTCTTGTGCGGAGACAAGGCAAGATACAGAAACGATGCTCACTTACAAATCGCTGCTACGTTCACTCCTTTTGAGGTGAGGTTGGTACGACAGGAGGAAACACTCGGGGTGGGATTCAAATTTTTTGATCAGAGGAAATGGAACCGTCAAGTCCTTGACCACCAAGGTTTGAGGTGAGGACCACACCTGCACGGTGAAAAATAAAGTAGAACTAGGCAATACTTGCGATGGCTTTCTTGATTCCAGAGAAAAAAGCCTACGCTGGTCAAGGGAGGGGTGCTTAGCATGCGCAAGAAAACATAAACAGGCAATGCTTCGTGATAGCCAGTCACCAAACGACACAGGAGGCGGAGGGCCAAGAAGCTGCTCACTTCCGGAGCGGAGGCCACCTCATCCGTCTCAAGCGGCGTGCCATCCCCGAACAGCTCAAGGTCGGGAACGGCTCCATCGTACCACACGAACGGTAACGCTCCCATGCCGGTTAGCTCGGCGTCCGTTGGCGGTGCCTCCGTTGTCCCTGCCGTTGGTGGCGGTGGCCCCGATACCGCTGGGCTAGGGCCTGGGAGATTGCCACAAAAACGTGGTGCCACGTTGTGAAAAACTTCGATACTATCGGCTGTTTTTCTGTCTTTTCATCAGGCCCTCCACACACAAGGACATGCTGCAAGTGTGTTGAATTATTAAGTCGTTGGGCCATCGAGGTGAACCCGTGTACTAGGCTTCACCAGATAACTCACCCTGCGGTGGCTCGTCGTCGTCCTCTTCTGCGGACGGCGGTGCTTTTAGGAGGCTTGTTGTCCCGGAAGCCGCTGCCGACCTCAGGAGGTCAGCAACAGAACCACCGCCTGGGAATCTGTTCGCCTTGCTTGTGGTGTCTGCCGCCGGCAAGGGCGCTTCGCGTTGCTGCACGGCGCTGCCCAATCTACGGGCGGCGAGAAGCTTGGGCCTCTCGATCTCCACGTTCATATCGTGCAACTTTAGGATCTGGTCGATTTTCGAGTCGGGAGCGGCAGCCGGGTCGTGTTGCGGGGGTTGCGTTTGGAGAAGTTATTAGTAAGACAGCATCAGAGTGTTCCTCCACGTCCTTTGGAGCCACAAAGATAATGGAAAAGCGCGAAAGAATAAAAGTATAGTACTCCAGAAAACTTGCGAAGAATATGTTGGATCCTTCGTTGGTGCTTGCCTTCTGCACCTCCCCTAGCCTCCGCGATAGCTCCCGCCTCCTCCTCAACGTCGCCGTTTCAACTTCCGACTCAATCCAGACGGAGATCCCTCGGGCCCCACGAATGGGCAAGACGACCCGAAGCGTTTCGCACCTCTTGGGCTCGTAGGCGGTCACGGCCACGTCGGTTGCTGACCGATACACCTGTTTCGCCATCGCAAGAGATCGCCCTAGAGTTTGACACGAACGGCTCTTGTTCGAAATTGGCCAACCTGCTCTGTTTGTTTGCCAGGGCCTCAGGAAAGGTTCGTGCTTACAGCGACGCGCTGGTGTAGGCGGCAACGCGTGTAGATATCAAAACCACAACGATAGGAAAAAAAAATATATAGGAAACACAGCCTGGTCCTGGCGGTGCGAACAACTCCTTTCGTTCTCGATGTGAGAGGTTAGACACAGTACGTAAAAAAAAATTCAAATGACTTGTCATGATCCATGTCTCAACCCCCCATCCCCCCGGTTTTGAAGAAGACAATACAAAAATGGAAATGGTGTAGGTGTCTGAAGTTTTGCTTTGGGAACTGCAGTCAAAATTGTTCCGTGACACCGCGGAAACCAAATTATCGGACCTTGAAGAAGTAGAAGACCCCGTCCAACCGACTGGCCACACGATATACCAGACTTCCGGATTCTGCGGCCACCCTCTTCGCCCTGGACACCACCCACCGCCGTCCATCCCGCTGCTTTCGACAAGACAATCTAGCCGCCACCTTGTCGAGGTTCTCCAGAATCTGATGGTTGAGGTCGGGGGGAAAATACGATGAAGGTCAGGGAATGGGTGTATGCAGGTCTCGTACGTCCCGGCCTGCTACTTTAGGTAGTTTCCATGCACTCATATTTAGTCTATCCTCGGTACCACGTTATCCTTGTCGCTTTTTACACCCCCTACTGAAGCCCACGTCTAAAGACTACTGGGCCTGACATCTGACAATTACAACCGGGTGATTCTATGGTTGAAAAGAAACGCTCCTGATCTCGTATCCGGGACGTTCTTCCTGACTTGTTGATGTCGGCAACAGCACGATACTCCCGTTAAGGCGGCAGGTGCGAATGAGCCGACGCCCTTCACGTTTCGGACTGTTGTTTTCGTAATATCACACGACTCTGCTGAATATCTCGGAAGGAACGCGGGATCACGTCGAAGATGTGACGGACCACAATGGAGGTGGACATGCCCGCGAAACTCTGTTGTCACAAAAATTACCTCAGCGCCACTGAGCGACTCCGTCTTGAGAGTCCGGCACAGCTGGGCGTGAAGGGCCTTCTCCGTGATCACGAACCTGCCGTTTGATACCGTCGGTTGTGGCTGATAGCGTTGCGTGTACATGATTGTATCAAATCCCTACGTCAACACTTGTCGCATACGCAAGCACGACGGATCGCGGACCTATGGCGACAAGGGGCCATCACTGCCCAACACGCCCATCCTCGTCTTGACCAGCTTTGGCAATGGACGTGTCTGGTATATATCGCTTTTTTTTCAATAGAAGCGTGATGTTCGGATATATTCTAGACGCCGTGGACACCAAGATGTAGCCCTGTATTCGCAGATTCCCGGCCCCGACCCTACCGGCTTTCTGACGCACTGACTATGTACGAGAAAAAGTACAATTTGTACCTAAACGTCTCCTGCGTGACTGGAACGTAGGCTCGGACATGCACGTCCAGGCCCCGTTGACCTTTTTTGCTCATGGAGACCAACACCATGCACCCGTTCAGGTCACGGGATTGTCGGAACACAACCGCCTGTACGAAAACGAAGAAGCAGGAAGGCAATTGATGCTTGGTATGCGACTCGCGGCTGCCCTGTACTTAAGCTTCCATTTGGTTGACGGTTTTCTTTTTGCCATAGCGTGATTGTATCCCCGTGCACACCTGAGTGATAATGGCTGCCGTAGCCTAATAGATAATTGCCCCTTGCGTATGTCACCTACGTTTACAGAACCTGTTTTGGCCGCCTTTCTACCAAGTCAATTACGACGATCGTGCTCATTCTGTACATCAAAATCAGCACTGGTCTGTGTGAAGCTTACCTCCTCTCTTCGCCGCCGTTTTCTTCTCTTTACCGCGCGCCATTCCCTCAACCTCCTTAGCGTCTCCAGCCGCCGCCGTTCACAGATGGCCGCAAACCTAAGCCGCAAGTGTAGGAGGAATAATACCGTGGTGGAACAGAAAAATACGACCGAAAAATGCACCGTACATACGTGTCTTTGATACTGATCGCTCGATCGTGTTTCAAATCGCCACCACGAATCGTACCTTTCCAATGTTAGGTATCTCAAAGCCTCAATGGCAGATGAGACACGTTGATGGCCGCGCGGTCCTCCGAAACGCATGTTTGTTGGAGGTATCATGCTCTAAACGAGTGGCCCGCGACCTCTGCCGAATTGCAGAGTGTGTCTTGTACCTTTGTCACGTAACATGATACGCCAACGCTGTCTGGAATTCACTATTAGTGGAAACTGACTAGCCTTCAACCGCCCCAGATAATTTATGTACGCCACCGTACGTATCCGTCAGGCGGGAACATTTGATAGCACAAATCCGATTGCCGACGCGAGAGTGTGCATAGGTTGAGGAACTGATTGTGCCACCTAGAGCAGCGCACATACTAAAAATGCAGCAAATTTATGTTTCCACATCTGAGATGGCGTGACATCACGAAGTGACTTGAAACGGCACGATTCCGTTGTGACGTCACGAAGTGACTTGAAACGGCACAATTCCAAACACCAAGAAACAATCTTGACAAGGAAAGCTTCACGGGAGAAACATCCATGCACTAGCGCACGGCAACATTGATGCTCCCCGGTATGCTACTGGGGTCACCCCACGTCCAACGTACCGGGAAACTAGCTTCTTCTAGGTCACGTTCTTAGCACGACGGCACCAATCTACGTTAAGGGCCAGGGCTCACTTCCACAGCCAGGAGAGACGGCGGAACCACGTCTGGATGGCGGTCGACGCAGCCTTCCGCAGCGCTGCAATGCGAAGAGCTTCGAGACGGCGCAGCTCAGCCAAGTACTGCTTACGCTTCACGGCCATGCGTATCCACGTCTGTTGTGTTGGAAAGAAAGGTGAATTGAACGCGTGCAAAGAAACATGAATAGCAGAGCAAGCCTTGCCACACATACGAGAGCGTGAGGGGAATCAAGTCTAAGCACGGCAGTGTCCCTCCTGGCTGATGTGATCGTATGCACCACTCATCACAAGTTGGGGTGGTACTTTCGCCTGCCTCTTACGGGGCCAGTAGGACTTGAAATGCCTCGTTGAGATATTCGCTGGCGGGGTGTACGCAGCTGCTGTTGTTCACTTCCTCTCACTGTTATTCCACCAGATGTTTTATTCGGACGTATTGCCATCACCATGATATTTCTCGAGCAAGAAGCCAAAGCAGGTTTTGCTCATCAGACGTGTTGTATCCACAATGCCCTTTACTAACGTGTAAGAGTAGGGTCGCCGCCCGTTGGCGTCGGTAGGTCCATAACCGCCATCTTCCTCTCCACGTCGCCTGGATCCGCACTGCCGCGCATTGGAGAGGGGCCTCAGCTTTGATAGCGGCATCCTGGAGAAAGAACGGTTCACGTCGAGGGTTGAGTTTGGCGTTTGCTTCTCAGCGAGGGTGCCCTGGGCGTGAGTTGTAGATATCCCCAACGTACGATGAAGTCAAAGAATGGCTGCCCGTGCTTTCTGCTGCTACATGGACATCATCAGGCCACGTGAAATACCCTTTACTTGTCACGTAGAATACCTCTTGGCCCTGTTCGGGGCGGTATACAGCGCATGCGCTACCAAGAATAGCAAGCCGCCGAATCGAGGGCTGATTCGGCCCACATTATACACTGAGCGATCGGCCATGGACAATGTCCTGCTGAGAGCGTTACGCACCTTCGCCTGCAGCCACGCCATCTCTCTGATCCCTTCAAGCTCCGGCCTGATTAGCACGTGGTTGAAGACGAGATCTCGAAGCCCCTCAAGCTGAATCTTCTTTTGTTCTGACTCCGGATTGCGTAGAATCACCAGAGCCGACAGGGCATCCTTGAATCCTGTTTTTTTGGGTAAGCAGACGTATGATGAGACAGACTTCCGTTTGAACGAACCATCCCCTCCTCACAACAAGAGGGCGGGTTTCAAATCATGATCCTCTCTGATGCAGCCGCATGTGGGCAAACAGCCCCTTGAGAATCGGTCCTTACCCGCCAAATCCATCCGTAGGTCCTGGTCCAGCACGTGCTTCATTACCACCTGCTGGTGGTTGCGAACCGAATCTAGCGGAGCACCAGCTGCCGCTGCTCCAACCCCTGCGGCGGCAGCAGCGTTGGGCATTCCTACTTCAGTCCCGCCGCCCCCCCCCGCCTGGTGATGGCCCCGTGCCCGACCGGAAGGCGTCCCCGGTGATGTTCCCCGCTGAGATGTCCCTGCACCCGTTCTACCGCTAGCGGTGGCCTCCCTGGTGTTGCCTCTACTGCCTAGCGAACCGGAGCATTGTTTTGGGTGGGTGGAGGGGTTGCTGTGAGCACGCTTGCAAGGGGCGGTGGTGAAGGTGCGATACCCAGCCGTTGTGAGGGAGCTAGCTGTAGGTCCTACCCCGAGAGCCATGCTCGACATTGTGTACGAAGATGGAGTTTATTTGTGTGCACAAAAAAAGGAGTCGAGTCGAGCATCCACTCCTTGCCCATGTTTCGATGACGAAGGATTAGAAAAACGGGAAGCACAGAATATTTGTACGGGAAGCATAGGATATTTGTAATCTCTGCGACATGCG